AAAAATATATAAATAAGAATAATAATTGAAACAAAGATAAGAATTATTTACTTCATGTAATTTTCATCATTTACTCTTATAAAAAGAAGACTAATATGAAACAAAATAAATTCATTTCAAGACACCTTAACAGTAGAAAGAACAAACAACAAAATTGATTCAAAATAAGTTATTTCTATATGTTTTTATACCAGTAACTATTTTTGAAAAACTAATTCTCATAAACTATAAATCTCTTATGATTGAATAACCTTTATTTATTAAAACATTTAATAAAGAATGAAGTAGAGTTTTTCACTTCTTATTTCAGCAAAAACTAAATCTCTATTACAACCTAATTGATTATGTTTTAATTTCTTAATTTCTTTCTCTTTTGAGGGTTTCTTATTTATTAGAAGAATAAGTTTATTTGAGTATCACCAAATATTTATTTGAATAAGAGTGTGTCATTCCTACCAAACAATGATACAAAATTATTTGTATTTACTTTTTTGTAAATTATAATTTTGTTATATATTACACAATTATGGATTTAATGACACAAATTATACTAAGAAAAGGAGAAAGAAATTTCCAGATAAAAAATTGATAAGGTGTCAAAACCCTCTATTCTGGAAGGAGTAACTGAAGAAAAACCATCTACAATTTGTTATTCATAAAAAGAAAGATGGCAGGAAGACCAGCATTATTTAAAACAATTCTCATTGGAGATAGCGGTGTTGGAAAAACATCACTTATCAACCGATACGTCAATAACCAATTTTCTGATGTATATAAAGCAACAATTGGTAGTGATTTTCTAATTAAACCTGTTACTGTTAATGGAGCACAATACACTCTTCAAATTTGGGATACTGCTGGACACGAAAGATATAGTTGTGTTGTTACTACATTCTATCGAGGTAGTGATTGTTGTGTTTTGTGTTTTGATGTTACGAATCGAGAGTCATTCAATCATTTAGAAAAGTGGAAGAATGAGTTTATTGACGGAGCAAACGCAACCAATCCCGCTTCAATCCCAATTTATGTAGTTGGAAATAAAATTGATTGTGAACCAAATAAAAGAGAAGTAAGCCAAGAACAAGCAAGAGAATGGTGTAAATTAAATGGACATAAATATTTTGAAACTTCAGCAATGAGTGCTGAAAATGTGACAGATTTATTTACAACTTTAGCTGAAGATGTCGTTTCAAGACGTGAAGATGAAGAAGAGCCAGAAAAACCTGCTCCAATAATTATTCAAAAACAAAGCGAAGAGAAGAAAGAAGGAGGATGTTGCTAAGGATTTTCTTTAAATCATTTCAGTTCTTTCATCATTTTGTAAGTTATTAATTTTTGCGTGACTTTGTCTCTAAAAACTTATTTTTGTCTTATAAAACACAAAGAGACAAAAGAGAAAAATAAAAATCAAATAATACGACGAACTTTAAAATAAAAATATTATAAAATGTTCAAAACATCCAAATACAAACATTTACAATGCCAAGACTATAAATCAGATTGTTGGTATCCTGATATTAGGACAAGTGATGGTGGTGCTGAAGTGACAATGATTGCTGGGACATCTACATATTTAGCACTAAATTGGAAAAGTACTGGCGCAGGAGTAATTGGATGTATTCCATTAAATAATACTAATAAAAGAAAAGAAGAACCATTATTCTGCAAAGGACATAGTGGCTCAATAATAGATATTATTGCTTGTCCATTTAATGATAATCTTATTTTTTCATCATCTCAAGATTGTACTGTTAAGGGATGGAACCTTCCTTTCCCAACAAAATTAGGAGAAACAATAACTCCTTCATTCTCTCTTCAAGGACACAAAAAGAAAGTTGATGTGATTGCACACCATTATGCAGCTCCATTAATTGCATCTGCAGGAAGTGACAATTTAATTAAACTTTGGGACTATCAAAACCAAAACGAAGTATGTTCTATTGGAACTAAAGATATTTGTTATTCTTTGAGTTGGTCATATGAAGGAGATGTACTAGTTTCTATGGGAAAAGACAAGAAGTTAAATGTCATTGATTTTAGACAAGGAAAAATTGTTAAAGAGTATCAAGCTCATGAAGGGAATAAATTATCATGTGGAAGATTTGTTAATAAGAATAGTCCATTTGTATTTACTGTTGGTTTTGATAGAATGCAAAATAGACAATTTGGTATATTTGATTTAAGACAAGATAAGCCATGTTGTATTAAACCATTCCCATCTAGTAGTTCTATTTGTAAACCAATAGTAGATATAGACACTTCATTAATTTATCTTTGTGGAAGAGGAGATAGTATTATTAAAGTATATGAATTTGATTCAACAAATAAAAATTATATTTCTGAATTAACTCAACAAAATGCAGGAGAGTCTTTAAAAGGAATTGCTTTATTACCAAAAAGAGCAGTCCATGTTCATGATTGTGAAATTAATACACTATTAAGAGTAGGAAATAATAAAGTCAGTAAAAATGGGTCATATGTTATTCGTAGAGCATCAACAAAGTACCAAAGTGATTTGTATCCAGAAAGTATTTGGGTAGGTGCTAATCAAACTGTTGAAGAATTTATGAAAGGAGAAAATAAGAAACCAAAAGAAGTTAGTTTAGAATGTATCTTTGATAGTAAAGGAGCTCTTGATGCTGCATATGAACCTGAAGATGTTAAAGAACAAAAGAAAATTGAAAAAGAAAAGAAAGAAACAGAAGAACGTGAGAAAAAAGAAAAAGAAGAAGAATTAAAACGAATTGAAGAAGAAAAGAATAGAGTTGTTCATAAAGCACCTAAAATTATTCGTTCGACACATTTTAGACATATTAATACAAGAGCATTTAATAAAAATACTAATATCATTGATTGTAAAGTTAATACTAATAACTCACAGTCATTAATTAAAGTAAACACCAAATGGGTTGGTATTCCTTGGACTGGTATTGGTAAAGTTGCTGTTTGGCCTTTAGAAAAATCAGGTAAAATGATTGATCCAATATTTTGTGATAATGGTGGAAATATCAATGACTTTACTTTTGATCCATTTGATGATAATATTCTTTATATAGGAGGAGAAGATGGTAAAATAAAAGTTTTCTCAATTGCCCCTGAAGGAGCAACAAAAATAAAAGAAGTTCAAGCACATAATAGAAAAATTAATGGATTATATGTTAATCCATTTGTAAAGAATTGTGTTATTTCTATTGGAACAGAACCATGTTTAAAAGTCTGGGATATTGAAAAAGGAGAATCACTTTTTGATGTTACTGGATTTGGAGATAATATTAATAATATTAGTTTCAGTTGGGATGGTGAAAGAATTGCTGTTTCATGCAAAGACCATATTGTTAGAATTATAAATTGTCGTAATGGAAATATTGAAAGTCAATGTGAAGTACCACAAAATGGAGGAAAAGGATTTTTAGTTTGTTGGTGTGGTAGAATTGAAAAATTGTTTACTGTTGGATTTAATAAAATGTCACAAAGAGGATATTCATTAATAGACATTAAGGATAATATGAAAGTTATTAACACTACTGTTATTGATACTGAGTCATCAATTTTAACACCAATTTATGATGAAGATCTTAATGTTTGTTATTTAATTGGAAGAGGGGCTAAAACAATGCACTGTTTTGAAATAACTGATGAATCACCATTTGTTCATTCATTGAATATTTCTACTTTTAATGATGTAGTTTATGGATTTGATAAATTCCACAAACAATGTTGTGATGTTAAAAAAGCTGAAATTATGCATTTAGTTTTATTAAATGGAGAACCACCATCAGTAATAAGTCAAACTTCTGTTTATGTCCCACGTGTAAGACTTGAATATTTCCAAGATGATATTTATCCTGAGACAAGAAAGAATGAAGCTGTTTATACTATTGAAGAATGGATGAATGGAGTTCAAAAGGATATTCCTTATATTAGTCTTCAACCTGAAGGAATGAAGAAATTATCTGAAGCACCAGCTGAGAATGAACGTGCTAAATATTCATATGAACAAGAAAGAAAACGAATTGAAAAGGAAGAAGAAGAGAAAAGAAATGCTGCAATTTTTGATCGTGTTTTTGAAAGGATGAATGAAAAAAGAGATACATTTGATCCTATTGAAGATGATTCTGAGTCATGGTCTGATGATTAATTCTATCATTTTTACTTTTTGTTAATTTATCTTAACCTATTTTAAATCAAAAGATAATCAAAATAAATAACAATAAACTAATTCAATTTGAAGTATAAAACAATACCAATAATTAATGTTAATACCAAAACAATAATTACTGAAACGAGAAGAATAATTTTTAATTTTTTTGATGATTTTCTTTGATATTTTTCAGCAGTATCTATTTCTTTATTTCCTTCATTTACTTTTTTATCTGTTGTAAGTGTGTTATGTTCAATTGAATCTATTTGAGTTTGTTGGATTTGAACCATACCATTTAATTGTAAAAATGCTTGGTGTAATTCTTTTTGTTTGTCAACAATTGTTTTAATTTGTTCTGTATTCTCTTGATGGATTGCTAATGCTGATTCACTTTCTTGTTGTAAATAAACTTCATCTTTGTTTATTAATGGTGATGATTCATTTCCAGTTACAACTGGAGCAGGTGGAATAGAAGAATAAATTGAAGAAATCCATTCTTCAAATCCTTCAATATTTTTTTCAAATTCATCAGTTTCATTTTTAAATTGTTTAAGTGTTTGCATTGTTTTATTAAACTGGTTAATTTGGTCTTCAAGCATTTTATATTGTAAATTATATAACTTTTCATCGTTATTCTTTGATGCTAATTTCAATTTTTTAATAGTTGTAGTAATTGTTCTTTGATTATTTTTTAATGAAGTAATAGCTGTGTCACTCATGGTGTATGATAATAAAATATCTAGGTTAAGCTTTCAATGAAATTTCATCGTTCAAATTTAGTTTTCTTTCTTTGTGAAAATTCATTTTATTTTAAGCGAAATTTCTTCTGAAAATAATCAAAAATTAATAATTTTCAAAATAATACAATATAAAGACTCAAGTATAGTAGTTCTAATCAAACAAAACAATTATATTCTTTTGATACAAGGAGAGGAAAAATAGTTAGCATTAATATGATAAATGTAAATAGAATAATATTATAACGATAATGATTTCGTTATTATAAAGGAAGTAAAAAGATGGTTTTTCTTCTTTTTTTTGTGCTACTTTTATAATATTTTAGTTATATTTTATTATTATATTATTATTATGAAAATGTAGAAACAACAAGAGAAGAATTAGACAACAC